CATGTAGATGAGCCTCACAAATGAGACCACAACTGTCTGCAGCCACCTGCTGTTAGAGGAGCCGTCTACATATGTCATTCACAGGATAAAACAACACTTACGGCATTGCAGCAGCATTGATTAAATCAGTGCTAAGCTAGCAGAGACGGTGGAGAGCTCCTGCCTCTGTGCTACAGGAGTTTCTAAGATGGACCTTATTTCCTCCTTGTCTTTAATTTGTCCTCCTGTTGCCTCAACGAGAGGGAAAAGCACTAAGAAGACAGAACTGTTGACAAATGATGAAAAAATGCTAATGCCTTGCATCATGGGAGATGTAGGATCCAGTGTTCTGGAGCTTGACCATACCAGCAAACCAGAGCTGTACCCACATTGTGTCGTGGTGTATTGTGTGTGTGTTTTATTGTATTTTCATATCTGTATCTTTTATGATTCTTAAAGCTGCACATTTTAATTAAAGTTGAAAATGAGCACTAGCTCTAAACTCTCCGTGCAGCATCATCAGTTTCACGCTTTGTATTGAAACTATGTTAAATTGCCTTTGTCCCTGTCAAATAAAGGAAGGATGACAACTGCTCCACTCGGCTGAATCTTTGCTGAGGAGCTGGAAGCGTCAAAGTGTGCAAAGTGAAGATTTCTGCTCACTTAGATCGATTTAATATATCACTTTATTGTTTTTAATGTGAGTTATACTGCAATCCAAGATGTTTTCATATCTATATTTCTTATGTAGAATTTAGGGTATGAGGTTCACGATGGCCTTCGCCTGAATGCTCTGAAATGTTTGTGGTCTCTGGGGATCTCTGATTTATTGACAGCTCTAGTCTGATTCCTTTCAAAGCCCCATTTACTATGTGATAAAATTATAATGTGCTTCCTGTTTTTATATGTTTTTTCCCTCCATTTTCAGTGTTTCTTTGTGCTTTGTTATGGCTTCAGTTTGTATGCCTCACAGGATTTGGAAGCTACATTTCCAAAGAGGTGGAGCTTTCTGCCACCAGGGGGAACACAGGCGTTTTTAAACTGCCAATGATAAAGACCTGCATGTCCACTGTATTTTACATAATCTGATGAAGGTCAGATAGACTGAGAACCTATCAAATAACTCAAATTCAAAATTCAGAACATCTCTGCCTTTTCCCCCTATTAATCTGTCTCTCGAGAGTCTGCCAGCTTTATATGAGTGCAATAAATCACTGGAGTATCTCTTGATGAGAAATCTTACCCTCTGTGTGCACTGCAGACACATAGGTCCAGTTGTATCGTTTGACGATGTCCAGGAGGGCCCTGGCCTGAAGAGTGTCTGACGGCACAACCCTGAGGAAGTACTTGAATAAAGTCTTGTCACTGAGGTCAATACTGGTTGCAGAATAGGCAATCTGTGGGATGTTGAACAGCTGCAGGAGGTTCTGAACTTGAATCGCAACCGAGCTTGAGCCGGGCCCGATCACCCCTGCGATGGGCTTCTTGGTCGGTGGCGGCTGACTGGAAGGTGCCCCCTCGATGCACCACCTGGAGCCGTCATTCTCGTCCCGGATTGAGATGAGAGAGTCTCGTATGAACTCGATGCTCTGCTCCAGAGCCACCGAGGAGTGCCAGCAGGAGTCCCTGATCTCGCAGCCCAGGCTGATGTTGGGCAACAGGTTTGGGTCCGAGTTAATCCGATCCAAGGCGTGGAACATGGCCTCCACTCTTTGGATGCCGTACTGCTCACGGACCTCTCCACATTTCCTGTCTGCCACCTTCTCAGCGGATGGTTGGTGGTGAACAGAGAAGAGGGCGCCGATTATAATATCCCCGTCCATCCTGGCCACCAGGCGAGAGGCAGAGCTCGGCACCACTGACCTCTCATACTTGCCTTTAGACAACACAAATGCCTCGAACAGTAAGACAGGCAGGTACAAAATGCTTATGGCAGTCAGGTAAATCATATTCGACATTGTGCCACAGGTGCTGAGTGTAGAATCATGTCCACTTGGCCATAATGGAGGTCCATCAATCCACTTTTGGATGGAATTAACTCAGCTGCTCCTCCTTCAGTGTTGTCTCCCTGTGTGTGAGACACGGAGCATTAATTCCTGCTGCAACGATTAGTCATTTGAGTCATTTTTTTATTAAAGCATCAAATCTTTTCTCAGGTTGAAGCCTCTCAAATGTGAAGATTTGATGCTTTTCTTTGTCTTATATGATAGTAAACTTTCTGACTGGCAAAAACATGTCACATTCAGCTAAAGGAAATAGTGTAATAGGCATTTTCTGACATCTTACTGGCAACACAATTAATTAAATAATCGAGAAAAGAATCTGCAGATGAATCAATAATGAAAATAATCGTTAATTGCAGCCCTACATGTACAGTCATTTCTCACTTGTCTAACTGTTGTTTCATGAAAGACTCAATACATCCCCTAAACTTCTTCTATCACAAACAGACATACAAGTTGCACCAAAAACATGCAGAAAGGCAAAGTTATTGGGGTCCTGTTGCAATGAAACGTGCACCAACCTTACAGCATCAGCATGCTGATCATACATGACAAGCTTTCAGGACACTAAATGCTCAATCTGAGAGACAGAAAGTTATATCTCCACCACAGGGAAAACCTTTTGAGCTTCAGCACCACGGACAGCTGCTCAGCTGATTTCGCTCATTCAAGCTGATTTCAACCTGCGACTGTTCCTTCAACTTTTACCCCTGAAAGCATCACGTAAAAGCCGCTGGAGATGTGCTCTATTAACCCTGCTGTTTGTAGCGTCTGACAGCCGACTCTGGCTCTCTCCAGTCGCGGCTCTACAGCGGTGTCATTTACAGGACATTTTCCAACATCGTCACCTATACATGCATCCCAGTCACAGGGTGAAGCTTAATTAACAGAGCAGGGCTGAATGTTCGAGCATGTAAAAGGGAGGGAAACGCTCCCATATTCACTCAGGATGCTGTGTCTGCGAAAGCATCACGCCTGATAAGTGAGATTACTTTACCTACCTGCACCAGGCAGTTCGGGGCATAGCGGGTCTTGTATCTCCTGAAGCAGCCAGACTGGACTCTTCTGCCGAGAAAACACAGTGCAACTGATTCTCTATGTGTGTGTGTGTGTGTGTGTGTATGTCTCTCCCTCTCTCTCTGCACTGATCATGAGGTGCCCCCTTCTTCTCCTCTTCCTCACTGCATCTTGTAAGCGGGTCACACTCACTGCAGTGCCCCTGATTTGAAGCCACAGTTCTTACACGTCGGGGAGGATGTTTCAGACAACGTGTCATCGATTACTGGCGTTTTTTGAGAGAGTATTCAAGTCCATATGGGATCGGATGTGGGTATTTTAGAAAAGAAGGCAACCTGAAAAGCCGAGATAAATATACTAAATCTGATATGTGAAGAGGAATATTATTTATTCTACTGATGAAAACTGTAAAGAGACTGGTCGAACTTCATATAATAAGTGCTGCTGCGTAGTGCCTGTCTGTGCACAGATGTGTTATGCACCTGCAATTCACACTGTGCTGAAAAAAGAATCATCTCTGCTGCACCGTTTGGCGGATACCCGATACTGCGCTCCGCACAGTTTTAAATAAAACTTTATTCAACAATAGAAATAAACACTGTTGTTTATCACAAAATGTTACCAGGACTAAAGCTAGTTAATTTAAATAATTGATAATATTTCTGCAGAAACTCAATTTTGTGTTTGACCAAGATTTTGTGTTTTTATTATTCTGTTATTTTCATTGCCACACATTTGGTTCTCAATTTATAAATGACTATATAAATTATCCCTAATTTAACAAATTTCTAAAGTCGACATTTAATGTAAACCCGTTATTTTACTGTATACCCATTTAATCCTATGTACTTGTTCTTTATTGCTGTTGTACCCTCGCCGTATATCTGATTCTTTTTCTGTATAATGATTGTGACTTCGGTCCACCTAGATTTCTATACCACAAGGTTCGAATCATATAAAGTTCTTTAACAAATGAACAAAAACTCATCATTGTAAAATAAAAACATGTACATACCAATGACACGTAAATATTTATAAGTAATACTTCATTATTTAATAACACTGTTTATTTTTATGTAATAAATACAAATTCAATAAAATGTAGACACTTAAAATAATCGGAGAAATAGAATTAAGATAATATTTAAATGCATGACAGTAAATTATATTTATATAATTTTAATATTTTTTATAGCATAATATAATCATTAAAATGGAAACTTAACTTAACCTAAACAAAATCATAATTGAAAATTTTCAAAATAAGTCGAAGCGGCGCT